TCGAACCCCTGACATTCTGTGATTCTGTAATACAGAGACAAGTAATGCAAGAATACAGAGCAGGGGATGGGAGGGGGGGAAGTAAAAGGGGGTGGAGAAAGTTGAGGAATCATTTTGGGATTTCTGCTAGCTTTCTCAGCAGAAAATAAGGAAAGTGTAAGCAGTAAACCTGGGAAAAAAACTAGCATGCACAGTCATTAGAAATAAAGAGCAACTCTTGCCCAGCTGGACTTTAGCAGCACGTTTAAAGTGTGGGAGGTGGGAGTCACGTTACTTGAAACCAGACTATAATAGAGGAACATATCTCGAAAGAATCACATTCAGCAGATAAGCAAGGCTTAATTTATAACATCACTGTATCTACAAATGTAGTCATTATTAATCACCAAAATGAGATAATATAACAATTCAAAAATAACCACTACTGAGAAATGCAGTAAAAAATCTCATTAACTAGAACAAAAATTAAGAAATACAATAGCTGCACATTTATTTCTACTCACAAAACTTATATGAACATGTATTATGCATGATAATGCTTACCACTCGTCTTAAACGTGAAGAGACTTGTAGATAACGGTCCCCTGCAGAGAACAAAAGATGATGGTTTTTGCAGTAGTCAGTGAGGAGAAATAAAACAAATTATCTTCAATTTATTTTTACCTGTTTACCACTAAATCCTGTGCATATATGCCTAAATAAGCAATAAGCAACACCTCCTGTCACCAAGCTGCAGTGCTTTCAGTACAAGCACCTTTTCAACTGAAATCTTGTCCAGAGATACTGAGCTAAAGGCATTCACGCAAACATCTGCCCAGCAAAACAGAAGGCTTGATTAAAACGCTTCCTTTTTTAAATTAAGCTAATCATAATAACAAGAATCAATCTCCTCTGATCACTTTCATTCCTGGGGCTTCTCAGATTAATTGACAAGTTACACTCTTATCCCTGCAATGAAAAAGTTGCTGTTACGTTATTATTTTTCCACAGACCACCAGGAATTTATGGTCATGCCAAGCATTTTGGAAGATAAAAATCTCCTTGTGCAATTTGGAAAATCAACCTTTATAGTCTAGAGGTTAAAAATACCTGGCAAAACAATCACAATGCAGCAAAATAGCATTGTAAGAACCTTACAGAAAGGAACCTGTAGCTCTGCTAGCTGAAATTAATCCCACCATGAGGCACTGCCAAAATCTAAGGTGCTAAAGATAAGGAGGTCATAGGAAGTACACTTACACTTTTGAGGTGACATTGTTCGCCAGGGAGCCCTGGTAGTACGGAATGCCCTTGCTGATTACAACATTAATCTGACCACCCAGAGTATTTGACACAACGCCTGCATGAACACCAGCCATACAAAGTGATGATGACTTGAAGAAGAGAGGAAAAAAGCAAAATTTAGTACTACATTGTAAACAAATACTACACTGTATACCGTAAATGCTGCATTGTCCAGTTAGAATCTCTTCTAGCTAGAATCTCTTCTAGCTAGCTATTCTTCTTATTTAACTGTTATTTCTATTATTTAGAAACCGTTCATCTTTGCTTTATTATAGAATCTATAAATCCACAACAAGAAGGTCCTATACTTTACTGCATCCTTGCCCAGATGTATTTGGAATGTAATTCTTTTAATTAAATAAGCTCAAACAAACAGCGAGGTGAATCAGTCTGAAAAGCCAGACAGCCAGACTTTCAGCCTACAATAAATCTATTATGTTGGAAGTTGAATACATAAATGCATAGGAAACCTTTTAATAATAAGCACATTGCAAGTATGTTTATTAATTTTCTCACAATTAAGAAGTGATGCACTGCAGATTTTGTAGCTTTCAGCCAATCTATTGTATTTTCATTTTAACTCATAGTTAAACATGGTGTAACCATCCAACACTCTGATCCAGACAAACCCACAGCAATACGTGAATACAGTTTCTTCTGAAGATGATGTTCACCTGTGTTGTACAGGTCAATGCTGATCAGCTACACGAAAAGCTTTTGCAGGACATTCTGTCCTCTCATTCTCTTCCTGGACAACCCCTAGCCCGAATTCACCACCAAATGTCACAGTGACCCCTTCACCTCCCTGCCTGCAGGCTAGCTGTGCCATAGGGGGCAGGAGTGACCCACCACACCAAGCACTTTGGGCGCAGCAGTGAGCAGAGTGAGATGTCTCTGCCTCCTGGACCAAAACTAGCCCAGGAGATCTCCAGCTGGAAAGCAAACTCTTCCAGACTGAAGGGGCTTGTCCAAGAAACGTCCTAGTGCTCAGAGGCAGAGAAACGGTCCAGTTTCAAAAAAGGCTTAGCTGCTTAGCTTTGCACCCAACCATCACATGCACCAAGGCTTTTGGGGGCTTGCTGGCAATGCACAGTGTATCAGGCACAGAGAGAGCTCCTCAGAGGTGTCCTGCAGTGCACAGCACTGGGGTACACACGGACACGTTGCAATTCTGTAGCTCCTTGCTTGCATCCAGTGAGACAGGGATCAACCTGAATTTTAGCAAACTGAGCGGGCCCAAAACTGTTTGTGAAAGACCACCTGGGTATCTCTAAACATACCTTCCAGAAACCACATTTACTTTGTTATTATCAGTGTGAGCTTGCCCAAGTCAATAAACAACTGCAGATTTTTATTTACTGTTAACAGTTGCTCCCCCAAACCAAGTCAACTGCTAGCTGTGCTACTGAACACATCTGCTGCACTGCTCTGCCCATGAGTCCACTGGTGCTAGAGAGCCTTAACACAATCCTTTAAGAAGGAATCAGCAGGTCCTTCCCAGAGAAGGAAGGTTTCATGGATCATTTCCTTTCTGTCATTATTTTAAATGTGCTCCACATGGCGCAGCAGGCCAGGATGCCCTTATACCTCAAGCTCACTGGCAAAGAATATCAGCTCACCAAGACATTTCCTAACATAATTCTCCTCATTCGCACATAAGAACCCTAACCCTATTCCTCACACCCTCAAATATCCCAAAAGCTTTCTAAATAAGTGGAATTATGTCTCGCTCATGCACACAGCTCCCCTTTCCCTTCCTGCTCTCCCTTGAAAGGAAGCGCATGGGATTCTGCACTAGATGAGGCTCTCTCCTCCCAGAAGATGCCAGCAATGAGCCCTTCAAGTCCTCCAAGACTGTAGACATTAGGGTCACACACCAAAAAAAAAAATCAAGACTTAGGGTATTCTTTAAAGCAGTGAACAGCTGCTGATCATTTGAAAGAGATACATGAGAAATCTCTACCTGAAACTTTGTCTAAAGTGCGTTGTCTAAAGCACAATTTTATTTCTTTCCACAGAGCTTGACTTCTAGGAAATCCTCTGCCTTTTTATTCAGAGCAATAAAGTACACAGAGTCACAGGGCATTTAATTCCTGAAGTTTCCTTTTTTCCTCTGCATAAAACAGGTTTTCTAGATTTTGGCAAAATAAATACTCCCAACAAGCAGCACTCCTACAGATGCTGCAAATATGGTAAGCAGAGAACCAACTTCACCTTGTTACTAGCTACAAAAATTATCTTGCACCATTTAGTGAAGACTCACTGTGGAACTGAACACAGAACACAGTTACACTACGGTGATATTTTTACATGCAGGTAATTAAGCAAATAGCCTAGGATTTATACATATTTGTGAAAAGAAAGTCAGCCCTAACCCTTGACAGAGGCACAATTTAGCTTCATATTTAATACTAAAATCTTTGCTTACTAACATTTTAAAATCGTCTTTCTTCTGTGCTAGACTTAATGGCTTATTAAAAAGAGTATTTTAAGGTAAGCAAAGATACTTACTGGAATTTTTTACTAGGCTGCTAGCAAAATTATAATCACTTAAATAAAGCAAGCATCCTCCAGTCCTATGGCAGGCATGGTAATTCAGTTGCAAAAGCTTAGATCAGAAAAACAGTGTAAAGTTTTTTGGAGTGTTTCAAGTAAACAATACGTTATCTTAATTTTCAATTCCAGTTTATGGAACTATTAATGTTATAGTACTAACTCTATTTTGCAAATGGTTTTGTAGCTGCTGCACACTTATTAAAAAAACTAAGATAACCAGAGAGACCAAACAAATCTAAGATAACCATGGAAACTAAAAAAAATTAAGATAACCACAGAGACCCTCTATTTACAGAAGCATTACAGTACCAAAAACAAGAGGACACCATTGAAAGAACTGGTTCTCTCTTTATAAATCTAAATATTCCAACCTGAAAAAGCCAACAAAAACAAATCAGAAAGTAGAAAACAATAGTTTGATACACCTTTTTCAGCAGGCCTTACAAAAATATGAGTCTCTACTACACTATTTCACTTCTTAGAAATGGTAACAGCTGAAGCACCAGCCATTTAGCAGCTGTGCAAAAAAAAAAAAAAAAAAAACCAAACCAAAACGTGTCATGCTATTCACTTTAAGGACATACAAATTCCAGAACCCAGGCAGCAGAACTACTGTGAACAACTATAACTGACTTTAATTATACATTGTGCATTTTATTAAAATTCACATGAGCCCACCGCACTTTTACTTACGTCTCTGTATCCATGGGGAATAGTGCCTGAAATATCAGCAAAAGGAATCACACACCCAGCTGGACAATACTTACTGGAAGAGAACAAAGTATCAAGTCAAGATATGCATGCAACTACAGCTCTTAAAAATGTTATAAAATAGTTACTCTGTTTTTTATTTAAAATACACTGTTATCATTCACATATCACTATTTAAGGATATATTCTAATCCAAGAGGTATCACATAAGACATAAAACTACTAAGGAAGAGAAGTACACAACAGGAGAACGGACATTTGAAAATGTTTCAGTCTCAGCTGTACTTCCAGTCTCAATATAATAAATTAGTAAAGCCAGCATTTATAATATAAATACTGCATGGCTTCTGTAAATTGAAAGTCACGTAAGTACCAATATTAATGAACTTTATTTTATAAACTAGAGAGCTGTATATCTTTTTTTTATCTTTAAAAAATACATCTGAAAAGTAATGCTATTTTATGATAGCTCGTTGCAATGCTTGGATCATAAAAAAATTGGCCAAATTCAGCTGATAGCATTAGCTCATGAGAAGAGGCAAGACGCACCTCTGACACAAGCTCGCGTTTACGTTCTAGTGCCACTTCATACCTATTACATCTTCAAGACCTAACCATGAACTGGAGTAAACTATTAACAGTTTCACTGCAGTTCAAGAACAGTTGAAGCAAAGTTGTAGCTACCACAAAAATAGTGGGACCAAGACTTCAGCACATGTGAAGCAGGGCCAGAACCTACAGTTAGAGCCCTGTTTTGGAACTTGGGAAAACGCTAGAGAAATGCAAAGGTTGCACTTCGAAACATTTCATGATGCCAGGGCTGAAGTAACGCTCCACAAGGTAAGTTTATGAACTTCACAACAGTCTGCTGCTTCGAACGTTGTCCTTAGTTTAGATGGAATTGGAGGGAAAAAAAACAGGGAAATTACATACGTGTCCCCCATCAGAAGGTACAGCATTTTTTTGTCTTCACAGAACCTCATTAATTCACACTAAACTGTGAAATGGGTTTGTAATTTTTAACATATTTCATAGTTTTGTGTTCCTTAGGTAACTGCAATATGAAATTCAGTATTTAAAGCACATACCTGCTCTAATATGTGTTTATAAAAGCAGTATTCTATGGGAATGAGATATTAGCTCCTATGCATTAGTGCAAATTAACGAGGTTCTACTGTATACTGCATGTAAGTTACAAAAATGGGAAAGAGAGAGAGAGGGGAAGGAAAAGTACAACTGTCAAAATTATTCAGCTCTAACCCTAATCAGTTTGTTTCTTAAATTGTCTGGACAGCTGATTTTCAAGCTGCATCAAGTACACATAAGGAAGGGAAGTAGAAATACTAAAATAACTTCATTACAAGTCTGGGGGAAAACACGTAAAAATCAGTCTTACTTGAATTCTGGTTCGGAAAAATGACTTGCATTGTCTAAACAGGTAATTAGGTCTGGAAAGAAAAAATGTTCGGTCAAGAGGATGATAAAGACAACAAGCCTGAGTATGCTTTTTAATATATATACATTTGAGCCTCTATGGCTTAAACAAAAGTCTAAGAATGAAAAAACCCCACGTTCCTACTAAAATTTCTTGCAACAGATTTCGTATTACAGTAGAACCTTGATAATTTGTCTGAGTAAATGGGAAACTCATTGAGAATGTGACATAGATAAGAAGGGAAACACTACAAAAAATAATTTTCTGTGCAGCTTCATTTTAATGTATAGCTATACTTCAAAGAACCTAAGATAATTCAGAGACACAAACATGGGCTCTTTTCACACAACTAAATTAATAAGCTGGATAAACAGGCTTGTATTTTCTGCATTTAACAGTCCTACAGTACTGAAACCAGGCAGCACAGGGAACAAACATTACAGAGTGCCATGCTACGGCATCCATGACTGGTAGCTCAAATTTCATGTTCCTGTCTGCTGTGTATCAGCACATATAGAGAGAAAAGCAACAGAAAACCCACAAAATAAATATTAAAATTTGAAACTCTTTTTCGAATTACATCTGGAAAGGGTTTTGTCATGCCTTTTGCCTTGTGAAACAGTTGCTGGCAATCCTTCATTCCCTTCCGGACCATGTATGTCACTCATCTTTAGAACGAGTGGAAGGAGATGCAAAACAAACTCAGCGACCTTTTTTAGAGGCTGGGATAACCAAACTGGGGGGGGTGGGGGGATGGATATGGAAGAAATAATGGCAAAAAGACTAAGGAGCAGTCAGCAGATTACATAATTAAAGAGCTGAGGGACTATGGGATACCATTACAGAAATACAATTTTCAGCAAGGTTGGTCTGTATAAAATACATATAGTTCAGTAAGAAGGCTTGGTAGTTATCTACCACCTTGAATACTTACCTGAAAACCTGAAAAAAAAAAATGCATTTCATCCTCTATCTGAAGCAGCTCTTTCATTCATAACAGATACCTGTGATTCTTCCTCTGCTCTCCAAGTTAAGCTTTGATACCATTTCTTTAAATCTACAGTAACTTATGATAACTGACAGTTCAATTTCTTATGCAGAAGTATCAGAAAGAATGTATTAAAAGTCTTCAATTTTAGAAGTTAATTTGTGGGAATAAACAAATTAGTCCTGTGGTTTTACTAGACAGCTCAGAAAAATTCTCAAATATAATTTTTAAAATTACCAAATAACTATACATACCTGATTTGTCAGTGGTTGAATAAGCTGCAAGAAATCCACGTCCAGAAGTGTGTGTTCCACTCATGAACTGTACCGTGACTTCATTACTTTTTGAAGTAATTAAACCATCCATCTGAAAGCCAAAGCCACAGTATTTTCCTATGGAGAAAAGGAGAACAGGCATGGACCAAAAGCAACATACACAATAAGCATATTTTTTTCATTTGCAGTGTAAGCTCAAAATACTTCTGGTGTATATTCAAAACCAAATACATGTGCATGACACTAAATAATGCAGTTGGTGTTCATTTAAAGCAAATGGCAGAATATGGGTCCCACATTTATTTTGTCACTGTCAACAGGTGAGTCTCTCATACCCAGAACACTTGCAAATAAATGTGACCTTATCCCAGTCACCTCTAGCAATGCATAACCCTCCAGTCAGTTCTTCAACGACCATGAGAAATCTGTCAAGGAAAAGGATTAAGTTAGGGCAATGAGAATCATCTACAGAAGCAAGTAAGAAAAAAAGTCCTTCTCTTCCCTCAGATGTTGGGTCACTTACTCCTTGTCAAGTGTTCCCTAGTTTCTGTCAATTAGTTTTCTTAAGTTTGGAGAACAGCAGGCATGATTCACTGCACTTCAGCATTAACATGCGAGACTGTGTGAGTATCACTAAGATAGGTTCATTTTAGGTTTTATAGCAAAACAGAAGAGAGGTTTTGCAGTTGGATGCTTTTCTTGCCATCCAAAATGACCAAAAAAAAATAATTTTAAAGGTGGAGTCTGCAGATATTGACAATATTTGCCCCACAAAGTTCTAGAACTATTGCCAAATGACATGACCTGGGTGAATGGCTGTTAAAAAAACCCAAGCCAACACAGAATTCCCAAGCTCTACTAACTACAAGCTTTAATAAAATACTGCTTGGTTCATTAACCTATTAAGAAAAAATAAATATCTTCTGTTCCACAGGCTCCATTGATCACTCAATACTGTAAATCATCTATAAACCTATTTAAGAATCTGCAGTAGGCAATCAAATGGATAACCACCAGCTGCAACTGACATTATATATGTTTCAGTTTACCATTCATTTATTTGCTTTCTTGATAGTATGATGTCATCATATGATAAAATAGCAAAAAAAGAATTGAGACTCCTATGTTTTACATTCTTCTTCCCATAATTTCTGCCACATTTGGGTAGAACTCTCTTTTTCAGGGATTGGAAAATAGTACATAACGGGCATTTCCATTAACACGTCATAACTGGAATCACTAGCCTGAATTCAGATGTTTAAAACAGTGGTTATGCAGACTGGAATTGGAACATCATTTTTTTTTTTAAATCTTACGAAGAACAATTGAAGGAGCTGGGGCTATTTAGTTTGAGGAATAGGCAGCTGAGGAGAGACCTCATCACTCTCTGCGAATACCTGAAAGGACATTGTAGAGAGGTTGGTGCTGGTCTCTTCTCAAGGGTAATTAGTGATAGAACAAGAGGGAATGGCTTCAAGCTGTAACAGGGGAGGGTTAGACTGGACATATATAACCTTACCTCAATTCATTACTTAAACTGGTTATCAGCAAGAGTTACAAAGTAAATTCCCTTTTACCAATGTTCCACATTGACCCTGTGTTTTGCTCTAAGTTGTTTCAATGATTAATTGCACTCATTATGATGATTTTTCCAATTACCACTTTTCCTTTTTTTTAAGTTTGGTTTTCAGCCACTGGATCTTGTTACACAATTGACCTGCATGAGACTCCTGTCAGGTTAGGTCAGACTGTCCTCAAGACACCATTTATCCTCTTCTTTGGGCAAACACAGAGGGCAAGACATTTAAATCTAACTTGGATAAACTATGCAGCACTGCTTGCACCATGCAGATCCAGCCTTCAACAAACTGCAGACTAATGCACTTTATCTTTCATGACAAGATATACTTTTGTAACTATAAATTATTTTTCTAACTCCTCCCTGGCCTCTCATCAGATTTTTAGCAATCTTTTTGAAAAGCAGGCACTAGAAATGGACAAAACACGACTGCTGTGACACTTCTGTCAATGGTAGGTACAGAAAACAGAATATTACTATTTTGTCTGTACTGAGGCACTGAAGGACCCCAAGTGGTTTCATGCATCAACACTGCAGCAGGAGAGGGAATTCCCACTCTAGCTTAGACTCCCTGTTCCTACAGATCTGGGCTTATATTATACATATTTATTAAGTACATCTGGTTGTAGATGCACAGTGACTGGACTGTGATGAAATCTAATAAAAACCACCTCTAGATCTTACTTAGAGACAAACTTAACACTAAGGATCTGAATCTCTTTTGATTTACAGAAAAATATTCAAAAGTCTTGTAATGAGAAATAGACCTTAAAAGCTTCATTAGAAAACCTCTCTTTATCAATGAACTAACCTACATGCTTTTTCAGTATAATCAGAAGACTTTTAACTTATTTTGGGTTAAAGCAGGTATCACTGAATTTCAGATTTTATGTAATACAAGTATTTTAGTGTTAGACCATACCTGCAGTCCTGAATAGAAAAACTTAGGATAATTTCAGGTTTCTTCCAAACAAATTCAGGTCACTGTTAACCTCTCCAGTGCTTGCAGCTTCAAACCTGAACCTTCAAGAATCTGCATTATCTGCATATGCCACTGTTAATATCACTGTTTGTTCTGTGATTTAATTTATTAAGAGCAGAGTAACACACACACATTTGATCAACAGACTGTGCTACTACACCAGCTGGGAACAGCTGAAAGAGAAACAAATTAAGTAGAAAATTTACTCAAACCCATTAAGTCACTTGTAAAAGTGAGTAATAGACTTATCAGAACTGGACATTCCTTGCCATTTAAGGACTTCAGCATTTCCTATTTTAGACCAAGTCTGGCTCAACGGCTGCAAGCATATACTTATTTTCACAGACACTTACCTAGGTAACAGTTGGAAAAGAAGGTTAAAGATAGCATTCCAAAGCTAGTCTGTTTATAAAACCCCCTCAATTTAGTGGGATCAGCACTTGAGTTGCACAAAAACAATCCTGGTGAAGTAAATCTCTCTCTCACCATATTAAAGCTTTAAGAAAGAAAATAAAATCAATCTGCATAATAACAACTTATTTTCGTGAAGGAAGAATGACCATTCTGAGTTTTATGTGGTTACAAGGGTCTCAAAATCCTAAATATAGCTTGGTGTAGACGGTAACATCACACTGCTATTTGAAAAAATAAAAAACCAACACCCCACTGCCTTATAGTAACGATATTCAATTTGTCCTCTTAAAGAGGATGAAAATTAAGCTATGGACATTATGAGAAGATGGGGCATGTATGAAATACACAACTTTTTAAGCCTGTGATCCTTTAACACCACCAAGATGAAGAGCTAAAATCAGAGTAATTTCCTATAAAAAGAAGGCATTTCAGGACAGATACATATTACTTTTCTTTTCTTTTTTCCTTCTTAAATGAAGACCCTCATAGTTTTGTAAATCCCCCTCCACCCCTTACAAGAACTTTGCAAGTTATGGTGAAATGTCTGAGAACAAAACCCAAACATTATGGTGGAGTTTCCTTTGGGAGTCTGAAGATTCAAAGATCATTATAGGACCGTGCTGCATTTACCATCTAGTTGTATGCACAAATGAAATGTAGAATGTTCTGCTATCATTATATACTATATAATTATATTAAGAATACTCTGGCATTCCAATCAGAAGAGTTCATCTGCTGAGCAACAATGGCAAGCACACTTGAAATAAGGCTAAAATGAGCACATCACCAGAGAATCAGAAAAAACAGACTATTGTCTTCTCTACCACATTTGGTTTTATAGAGTTACATCTGTACCTGTACTGAAGATGTGTATAGCATGCAGGAGAATCTATCAGTATGAAATTTACTAAAATTAGTCTCTGATGGCTGTTTTTCTACTGTGGTGAGGTACGCACAGCACTCCGTCAAGTTTTGCAGGGTTTGCTCCACAGGAAGCTCAGGAAAAACACAACTCTGATTACAGTATTACTAAAATTCCTTTCTTTACCTTTTTTGAGATTCCTTTTAATAATAAAACACTTCCTCCCTTTCACTACTTCCGAGAAGACTCAGAAGCCACATTGTACAAAGCAGTATATTCAGGCAACGGCTTACCCTGCCCAACATCCAACTGAATTGCAACAGGTTTCTAGGGCTATAGAGAAGAACTTAACTAATACCATACACACAGTAGGTTTCTAGGCTCAGAGCAGGTAAACAAGGAGCAATTTCAAAAGTAATAAAAGTACCAATAGTATATCCAAGTTCTATACAAGACAATAGTTTTCAATTACCAGTAATAAATTCTCTTACCTATCTCTGTCCTGGTGGGGCCAATCCCATTGTGAACTCTTAAGTAACTTGAATGACAAGAATCTGAGTCATCAATATCAAAATCACCAAATTTGAGCTGAATTCGCTGCCCAGGCTTTACACGAATTTCCCATTCACAAACTGTGCTATTGGGAGAGGTCTGTGGGTAGTTTATTGAGGCAAGTGTTCCACTTTCAGGACCCAGAACAGTGTGTCCACATCCATCACCTACAGAAGAACAAAACCAGATCAGCTATGTGCATTCATCTTCAAAGTTTCACTGGCGATTTAATCATCCTACTTTTCAGCAGTGCTATAAGATTTATTGGGTTTTTTACCTCTATTCATCATGTTGGAAGAAAACGCTAAGGTAAGCCGCATGTAGAAGAAACAGCAATTGCAAGAAAGTACCACTCAACTAACGCTGCCTGATGTTTAGCTTCTTATCATTAGGGGACCAGAGAGCTGCTACAACTTCCTCGACAATATAAAATCTCATCCATAATGACCTAAGAACTTGCACAGACACTACGGAAAGTGTCCTTGTTATTTCACGTTCCCTCATCACTTGTGTAGAGAAGAAAATTGGTTTTGAAAAGGAGGGAGAAACCCACCAATGAAACAAGAACACATTAATTTTATTGTTGTTACCGTACTCACAACACAATGAAAAAAAAAGAGCAGAAAAATGATGGGCAGCAAATATTCTACTGAAAATAACTGCCATGTCAGACCATCATCAAACTGCTAACGCATTGTATTCTACTCTACCACAATTTTAATATTGCAATTAATTTTTACACCTCTTTAGAGAACATGCTCAATTTTTCTGGATTTGTACAAGTTAAATCATAACTCCAACTTGGAGTCTCCATCTAACATTTGAGTATTAATTTTAAACAGCAGTAACAAGTGGAAAAAAACAGAAAAAAATGTGTATTCTCAAAATCAAATGATAAATAACAAACTGATAAATCTATTTACTCCATAGCTAGAGATGATTTTCCCCCAGTATGCAGTACAAGGAGTGTAAGAATTTGTTTGCTGTTTTGGAAATAAGAATATTCTTTATGTAACATCCATCATCTTTATAAAGATCTTTAAAAATTACTGTATCCAGAGGAAACAATTCCTGAGCACAAGGACAGATCCAGCAAAATCAACACCTGCAATAACATATGTCCCACAAAATGAGATTCATAACATCTCTGATCTGTTTTTGTTACCACTAAAGGATAAAAAGCCTATTTATCGAATTCAGTTCCATGAAATGAGTAGGCCAGGAATACCACTATCATTTTCAGGATTTGACAGAAGAGGGTCCATTGACCTTTTGAAAGAGATCTGTACATGTTATTCTAAACACAATCAGGACCTTGAACAAAGTAATGTAAGTAAAAACAGCAAATACAAAAATGAGATTAGATATGCTGCTAAAAAAATGTCTTCAACAGCACTCCAAATACATTTATTATCTGCAGGCCTATTCTACCCTTCAAAAATCATGCTTGTGTAAGCTCCTACCAAGTGATTACGACAGACTAACATCATGTCACTACTTCACACTCTAGAAATTCACAACGATCAACATCATTTGTATTGGCAGATGTTTGTTTTGACAGCTGAAGTGTCAGTCAGAAGGCATTTCACCTTACACACTATTATGTGTAGTTCTTCTACTAAATGTGAAAACGTAAGCTAAGCTTTAGGGACAAAGACTGTACACGTTTGAGAATTTTAACTAAATTTCAGGATTCTTAAATGTATTTCATGCAAGACTGAATGGAAAAGGAAGTCCAATGTACCCAAGTGACAAGGGAAAAATAAACTGGTACTTAACTAGGGCCAACTAACGTGCATGCAAAAGCACCTAATTTCTATTAAAAAACTTATTCTCTTTATAATCTGAGCACACTGTAAGACAGCTGCAGGTTCTAAAAGCTAAAGCACTGCTGGTACACACACAATTACAAACAGGTGCAAACTTTTTTTCTTGAATTAAAATGATGCATCTTTGGAAAAGGTAACTGGAATATGTGCTGCAGTGAAATCAAAATTTCTATTTGTAAAGCTGTTGTTTAGTCATGTTTTTCTTCATCCAATTTTAGCAATTGGTTTTAAAACACTTTGTTTCATCCCACAACAAATACTATTTCCATTTGGGTAACAGCTGATGAATTACTTTCCTAAATTACTGTTGATCTAATGTTGTTCTAATGTCCAGTGTTACAAAGAGGTAACTTAAACCATGGTTTGTGTATTATTTTAATCCTAGCTTCTTTCCAAAGGCATGTTATGAGCCTAAGAGTTAGTGAACGACTTACCATTCAAAATCTGTAAAGCCTTTGTTTATTAGTAAAGATTTAAATGTCAGATTCCTTATTAGTCACAATATGCTGAATAGTCAAAAAAATACTGATTTCTTTGCTAGTAAACTGGCTTTTCACAAGCAAGTACTCATACATATTATGAATACATAGAACTTAATATATTAACAACAACAAAACCAACAACCGTATACTAGATCTTTATTCATGGTGGTATTTGAGGCTAGAATTGCAAAACTCTTTATACTGCAGACATATAAAATTAATTTTCAACATAAGCAGCAGCCAGTTTTAGGTTATGTCCTAAATAAAAAGAATGAGCCAGTTAACCAGTTCTGTGCTTTTCTAATCCTGTAGCAGGGGTAAGCAACTGTTCATTCATTTACATATTGAAAATATACACTAATACAGTGGCCTTTTGAATATGAAAGCACAGTAGCCTTCACCTGTACAGGCAAATACATTGTTCTGAGTGTATTTTAAGGAAAATAAAAACGCTGGCACGATCTAGAACACTTGGTAGTTAATTATTTCTCATTTCAGTAACCACACAAATGTTGTTTCTTACAAACAGGAATCTTTGATTCTTCCCCACAGTTTTGCATCTTAAGCCTATTCAGGAAGAGTTTGGGTCTCTTATTTGACCCAAACTATAGTTAAACTGTAAATTCCTCCAGTTAAAAGTAGGAAAGATCATGTCCAACATTCATTTAAATCATCCTCTTCACTAGTTTTGTGTTCAGCTGTTTCAAGCATGAAACAATACCGGCACTGCGTTTCTGTGATGAACAGGGCACACCTTACTGGTGATTAAAGCTGAGGAATTCCAAAAACACTTACACATTTAGGCGATAAAATGCAAATAAAATACTCTAAGTTTTAAAAAGACATCAAGACTTTTCTTTTTAAGACAATTCACTAAGAAATGTCAAATTTTCCCTTGTAGCTTGGAATAACTGATCCTCTTCCCAGTAGCTCGATAGAAAAACTTTCTAGTCTGTCTCAAAGAACTTAATGGAAACGCAAATCTCAAACTTCTCTTTTGTTGTAGGCTTTCTTGAAAACAAGTGAGGAAAAATACTCCTCTGATCTATCCATATTAAAGAACCTGCTGTCAAATCATAAAAGAAAGCAACTGAAATCGGGAAAAAAAAAAAAAGCTGTGCTGAACAGCATCATCTTATTATGATTTTTTTTTCTAAAAGGACATCAATCTGACTGGGCATTTTAGATCTCATTTCATTGTGTGTTTCACTCAGGTTAGTGATACCAGAAGTGCCAGGCACTTCATGCCTGAAGAATGTAAAGATTACCACTGCGTTTCCAGCACACAATACACAGTCTGACAAGGGCAGAGGCAGCATTCAGGAGCTATTTGGAAATTTCTTTAAAAATCATACTTTCAGTGAAACTTAAAGAACAATAAAACCACATTTTATTTTACTGGTACTACAAAAGGGCTGTTCTTGAGCCTCTCTATGTAAGCAGTGCTTCATAATTTCTGCCAAAGTTGTATAAATACCACCAATCACATATATACATCCTGTATCAGGGGAGCAATCTGCAATACTCAGCAATTTATGCAAGTGAAAGTACAATTCTTTGCACTACAGCCACACATACAGGAGCATTAGCGACCTCATTCATTTGGAAGTCATTAACTAAGTGCCACAGAATCTTTTGCCTGAGTTTGCGTGCCTGAGAGCGGAATATCTGAGAACACATAGAAGAGACAGATGTCAATTCCTAAATCAATTATTCCTGAATGGGCTGACAATTTCTGTTGTCAGTACACAGCTGAACAAGTCTGCTTTCTTTCGGCCCTCTCTGTCACACAACAGACCTACTGCACTTGCAGAATAGACCAAGCTCTTGCCCATACACAACACCCGACATTTGCTGGAAGCTCTGCAGAGGCGCATTGAATTTCACCTGTCCCAAGGACCATGTTCACAGCAAACATGAACACGCTCAGCTCTTCACCAAAGCGTGTGTTAGAAACATGGGCGCCTCTTAAGAAGCTGGTAGAGGAAAGCAGACTGCTGTCGTCAGGAGAACCATTCATCTTTTCCGCAGGCGCCTTCCAATTCAGTCCGGATGAATTACCCTGACGGATTACATATGACCCCTGGGCTATGGCACGTTAATGTCTGATGCAATCACGCAGATGATCTGAAATGATTTCTTATACCCAAGTTCTTTATATCAACAAAATAGAGAACTTGAACCAATACAAACAAACAAAAATGCATTGGTTAAGAAGAAAATGGGAAATTTAATGAAATGAGAGGGTACTGCTCATGCACAAAAAAAAGATTAATTATTATTTATAGTTGCTGTAGTCAACTAATCAGAACTTTTTCCCCATGAGATTGGCTGCTCTTAGTGATTGTTAAGCTTGTTCTCACTACCAAAACATGTTAAAAATTAATCTTTAAGACTGGAGAATGCTTTCCCATTTCCTTACTTGGAGAGAATGATAAAATAAAGACATCAGACAGTTTAAGATTACAGTCTATACGGCATAACTGATGCATATGAAAACATTGATCTCAATTTAACACGTGGCATTGCCTTTTGAATAGACTTAACCAGTGGGTTTCCTGAGAAAATTTTACACATATAAACTATGATTTTCTGTAAGCTTGTGACTACATATAGGATGTAATTAAAGCTTTCTTAACCCAGCACAGATAGAACCAAATCTATTAGAGTTATCTAAGTCAAAAAGATATTTTAAAGTAATCATTTTAACTCTAAATACACAACTTTTTCTGATTCAACGCACTACTATAATTTCTCCTCTTCTGTTTAGCTCCTATGCTTCGTATTTCCCTGGATTTTTATCAGTATGCCACTAAAAGACAGAGTGCATCTGCTTTCTTGCTTTTTCCTGATTTTTTTTTTTTAATCAGTGTGCCATTAGAAGACATCACATCTGCTTCTTGCCTTTCTCAGTGTGGTCAAGAAAGTTTACACAGCCAACAAAACCGTTCCATGAATAAGAATCACTGAGGAATTAAGACCACAGAGACATTCAATTCTAAACTGTTTTTTCAGGTAATTTTCAAATGCCGTTATTTGCATCCTCCAAACTCACTGCTGTTTCCACCAAAATCCTCAGAAATATGTTCTTCAGGAAGGAATCTGCTCCTCTGTCAGAATTAATTTTCTTAACAAGCCAGCAAGCACACAGTCCGCCTTCATCTTTATGCCATTTGTTTGCCTCACTAACACACCGGCTGGAGCATTTCATCTCATTACAGATGTTTCACAACATAAAATACCCCACACTTCCACAAGTGAGGCCATAGCTCAATAAACACTTGAAGGCACTTTAAATTAGTGGAGCCACAGACAAAAGCAAGCCTTGTCTGCCTCTCGCTTCTGGCCACTTGCTCTCACACCCTCCTTGGTACTGGAGGTAAACTCTTCCGCAGCCACATGGTAAAACCAGACCAGGGACCTGAGATAAAAATAGCTGTTAGTTTTAACCTAGAGCAATCCCCTCATTTATTTCAGCATGCACATGCAGCAGGGCCTTCCCTGACAGAGGGATAGGACAGTGTGAGGGTAGGGAAACACCGGTAACCACTTTTTTATCAGCACTGCCAGCCTCTCTTTGCATTTTAAACAACCTTGAATCACAAACAGAAATGTAGAAACCATGCCTCCTCTGGGAAGATCAGCCACACAAGAGTGGCACACTGGCTTCAGGAACTGAGCTGGCTGAAGATGAACCAGTGCCCTTACCCATTCCCAGAGCACAGCGTTAGGTTTCAGCCAACTCGCCTCTCTGAGGCAGCGCACTGTGCAACTGCCAGAGGTAGGCACGGAAAGGAGGGCAGGTGGGATTTACGCTTGTCTCAGCTTGGAGTGATTTATTTGCTGTGGGGCACTCCTAGAAGGGTAAGGAAATTACGGGCTGAGGTTTAACAAAGGTAAAGTACAATAAGCATTTTGCTTTTCCAAACGCTGGCAGCTCGGTAGCAGTGGGGGCAGGAGACAGAGGCCAATTCTCCTTTTTATAGCAAATGTACAAAATTTAAGATGCCATTACAACAAAATTTTACTGTTTTCATTTCCAACGCTAGCCACACGCTGGGGTAGTGATAATTAGGACTTTACTATTTTCATCTGTACACACAACTTTTCAACCACATCTCTGGAAACACAGTCTTAGCTTTCAGCCACTGAATTTTACACAGAAGAGTAACACTTAGCCTTGCTAAATTTAACATCCAGAATATAGTAATATTTTAAAACAAATTATCTTGAATTATTAAATCATCAGAGCAGGTAAGACGTTTGCTTCATCCTATCATGTACTAACCAAACTGACTACTCCAAAAGAAGAGAAAAGAAAGATCAGCTATGTAAGACCGTGCTGCAGAGCTCTTGCTTACGGATGTCAGGGAAATGAGGTGGGTAAGTCCCTAGGGACTGCTATGACTTGCTTAAATAGTATGCAGGCAAAAGCAGCCCACAAAGACAGGCTAGCCATGGTGAAAAGTGATTTATGTGAGGACTCTGTAAGAGGGCTCTGCATTCAATGATACATAACGCAGAAGCCCTCCTGATCTGCTGCCCAGGCTGAATCATAGTGACAGCTCACGTTGTACGTTGCCTTTTGTCTGGCACATGCAGCTCGCCTGCTTCCCAAGACGTATCATTTACTTAGCTATCTGCACCACCACTTTTCCAAAAATAAACAAAGTTGTGCTTCAGTGCTCTAAGTGCTACACAGCAGAAACACAGCTGATGAAGGAAATGAAAAATAACACACAGATGGTCACGCAAAATTCTTACGAGAATAAGGAGCAGCCATGGTCAGAATAGGCTTCAAATCTATGGTCTTCAAACTCATCGCCACACCAGAACCAAACAGAATGTCACAGAATCATAGAATGGCCTAGGCTGGAAGGGACCTTAGAGATCATATCAACAAAGGAGTCAAAAATTCTTCAATCATGACAGTAATTCACCTGCCAAATTAACACTACAGTCATCTTTTCCTTTCTTCCACTACCCGCTCATAAATGAGACTGCACAGCTACGCTGCAGATCAACGGTGGCATACACTGATATAAATACTAGCCACTGCAGTACCATCTTGTCTTTTATAAACAGCTGGGATTTCCACCCTGTGTGCTGCCAACGCTTGTCATACCCTCGTGGAGCCAGACAGCAGTTTTATACCTGGTTTACCACCCTCTCTGCTGCTTACCAAGTAAGGGTATGGGTCGGCAGGGATGTAGCGATCAGTGGCACCTGCAAAATGGACAAGACACAAGATAGGGACAGGGAGGGGAGGGTGAGAGAGTAGCAACCAGTGGTAAAAGTCATGTTTGGCTACCATGGAATCAATAGAAGCTGGCAGGAAGGAAGCTGATGGTTCGGGTACGTGAACAAAAAACAGTGGGGCATCTTTCAGGAAGAAAATCACAGAAAACAGCTGGAATTATTTGCACCGTGTAGCTACACCAAGAACGATGGCTTTAAATATCAGTTTTCAACCCTTTTTGAAGTTTGTCATTCAACTGACAAAAGAGTAACAGTCCACACCTCTACACTAGTATTTCCTTCCATCAGTGTATGTGACACACTGCATCATTTTAATTTCTAACACTCTTTTGCAAGTCTAATTTCAAAATGATGATGGGGCGGTTCACAGTTTTACCACTGTGAACAACACGGCTTCCTTCTAGTGTCATGAAATACAATACACAATCTAAAAGGTAATTAATGCCTAATTTTGCCTTGTAGAGGCAAAATCAAAATACTTTCCCTTAGAAGTAAAACTGATTTTGCCTTAGAGGCAAAATACTTTCCTTTAAAAGGAAGATATTATCACGCTTGCGACCCTTTATGAATACAACCAATAAAACCAACATTATGTACTACTGAATAATGAGATTACCAACTAGGAAGATGACAGTAAATTTACACACTTCAGTCACTGATTTTTAAGTGCTAAAATTATCACAAAAGTATAACAAGAGCATTTAGGAAGTCAGTAGCATGTGAAGCTCCAGTAAAAACTATCTGTGAAATTTAAACTTGCCCATTGGCTTTGCTCTAACTTCTTCATAGCAAGAAGAAAAGGATGGCATGTGTTATAGAACTGGAGACCTTGAAAACAACTCTTTAAAAATTAAGAAATAAAGTTATGAAAATTCTTTATTTGACATTTTTAAATATACTTGAGATAAAGATAAAAACTGACAACTTAAGTGTCAAAAGCATTAAATTCAACACATCATTCTTTCTGTCCTTGTGACAATGAGGCATATTTTGACACCTGTATACAACAGCATGAAACCAGAACTTAACAGAAAACATGTTTGAGGGCTTCCTGGTTCCACAAAACTCAGAGATTTATAAAAGAAAAACTAAGAACCAGTTGCTTCTTTGCACGACACTGAACAAGGCAAGGTGTTTTTCCCCATCTCTTAAACCATTTCGGAGCAAAGTAAAAATGACCAGATCCAGCTTTAACTGGCTACAGTCCTGCTAAAGACACAACAGCTGCCAATGATGAAAACCTTTGCGGACTTGCTGGCAAACAAACATACGCAACGTACTTCACATACATGCTAGACCACTGCAATAAACTATCCTTTCAGAGTCAAAATCTCCCAACTCTGAGAAGTAACCAAACAAAACCGTACGCTAGTAATTAATCTTCTGTTTTCCTTGCTTTCATAATTCATCCTTCTCCTCTAGATACTGAGGATTTTCACCTGCCGTCTACCCACAGCGTCTCTATACAAAGAACATTACAACAAAGCAGTTACACAAGTTGCTTGTCATGCCAAGTCTAATTAATAAGCCACTTTACTTTCACCTCATTATAAAACTAAAAGTGTAAAAATAGGATGTATAAAGACAAGTGTGACCAAACTGCTAAAACAGTGTGGTGTTACTATCCCCCTCTCTCAATATCTGAAGCTGCAACTAGGCACTGAAACAAACACTACTTCTACTCCAAGAGAGAGCAATTAAGAAACCTGAAAAGATTTCCTCTTCACAGTCAGGCAACATATGAGGTTTTAGTATTACCCA